AAAAGGAAGAAACACTACCACACTCATGGTATGAAGCCAGTATTACACTCATCCAAAAACCAGACAAGGAAACACAAAAAAACGAGAATTACAGGCCAATCTCTGTAATGAACTTAGATGTAAAAATCCTCAATAAAATACTGGCAATCTGAATTCAACAACATATCAAAAAGATTATACACCATGATTAACTTGGTTTAATTCTGATTCACCATATAAAAATCCACAAATGTAATAAAACATATAAACAGAAGCAAGGACAAAAATCACATGATCATCTCAACAGATGCAGATGAAGCCTTTGACACAATTCAACAACCTTTCTTGATGAAAGCCATGATGAAACAAAAATAGAAGGAATGTACCTCCACATATTAAATGTTATATATGACAACTGTATAGCCAACATCATACTAAATGGGAAAAAAATGAATCCATTTCCTCTAAAGTCAGAAACGAGACAAGGGTGTCCAATCTCTCCACTTTCATTCAACATAGTTTTGGAATTCCTAGCAAGAGCAGTAAGATAGGAAGAAGAAATAAAAGATATTCAGTCGAAAAAGGAAGAACTCAAGTTATCCCTATTTGCAAATGACATAATATACCTAAAAGATCCCAAAAACTGCACCAGGAAAAAAAAGAAAAACAGACATGAAAACCAATGGAACAAAATAGAAGGCCCAGACATAAATCCAGGCAGGTATGCCCACCTGATTTTTGACAAACTCAACCAAAAACATACAATGGAGAAAAGACAACCTTTTCAACAAATTTTGCTGGGAAAACTAAGTATCTGCATGTAGAAAACTGAAACTAGACTCATGTTTTTCACTCTGCACAAATATCATTTCAAAGTGAATCAAAGACCTTAACGTAAGGCTTGAAACTTTGAAACTAGTACAGAAAAAAGTAGGGAATACATTGGAATATATATAAGCAATAACTTCCTAAAAAGAACTCTAAAACTTCAGCACCTAAGAAAGGACTGACAAATGTGACTAAATGAAACTAAATAGCTTTTCCCCAGCAAAAGAAATGGCCACCAGATTGTAGAGGCAGGCACAGAATGGGAGAAAATCTTTGCCAGCTATGTATCTGACAAGGAATTGATAACCAGAATAGAGAGCGAGGTCAAAAAAAAAAACTCCTAAAAAACAAATTGTCTAATGAAGAAATGGGCAAATGAACTGAACAGAACTTTTCAAAGGACAAAGTACAAATGGGTAAAAACACACATGAAGAGATGCTTAATATTCCTACCCATAAAGGAAATGTAAATCAAAACCATATTAAGATTCCACCACTCTCCTGTAAGAATGACTACCATCAAGAACACAAACAACAATACATGTTGGTGAGAATGTGGGGAAAGGGAACCCTCATACACTGTTGGTGGGAATATAAATTAGTATACGGACTGTGGAAAAACAGTATAGAGGTTCCTCAAAAAATTAAAAATAGAACTACCATATAATCCAGCAATACCACCCCTAGCCATATAGCCAAAGGAATGTAAGTAAGCTTACAATAAAGACACTTGCACACCCATGTCTATTGAAGCATTATTCACAATAGTTAATCTACAGAAACAGGTCAGATGCCCTACAACTGATGAATGGATTAAAAAATTATATACAATGGAACTGTATTCAGACACAAAGAAGATGAAATTTTGTGGTTCTCAGGTAAATGGATGGAATGGAAAACATCATCTTAAGTGAAGTTAGCTAGGTTCAGAAAGTCATAGGCTGCATGTTTTCTCCCATATGTGGAAAATAGATCAAACACAAATAAAAGCTTATCATGTATGTATATAAATATATACAGAACATGTTTCCAAAAGTGGGACTACTAGAGGAGACAAAGGGTGGAGGAAAAGAAGAAAAGAATGATAGAAAGGGAGTAATAATGAAGTATATCACATCTGTGTAGGAAAAAGTCACAAGGAAACACAGTGAAAACTGTTGAACAATACAGGGTAGAGGGAAAAGGGTGAAGAAGAGTAGTGGAGATTAGACAGATTTAAGTACAATATATTTACAGGTAAAATACCAAGGCAAAATCCCAGTTGAAAAATAGATATCGAAACAATGAAGGACAGGAATTTAAAATAGGTCATGTTAAGGGGGAACACACTAACGTGGTGGGGAAGAGTAAAAGAAAAGGGTAAAAGGAATGGATATGATTGATGTACTTTCTATATAAGTATGAAATGTAATGCTGAAATGTACTGAAGTTACCTTAAGAAAGAGAATGGGGTAGGAGGGAAAATAATGGAAGAAATGAACCAATTCAGGGTATAAAACATGTACATAAGGAAATATCACAGTGAAACCCCCTGTATAACTACCATATACTGTAATAAAAGCATTTGTTAAAAAATGAATGACAGGAAGGAAGGAAAAACAGGTCCTGTATGGGAATAGGTATCAGTGGGAGGGAAGAGGGCATAAGGGTGAAGTTGTGCAAATATGGTAGATGTTATTTATATTCATATATGAAAACAGAAGAATAAAACCTGTTAAAATTGTTCTAAGAAGCGGGGAGGGGAGAGGAGGGAGAATAATGGAGTGGGTAAATCTAATTAAGATCTATTGTAAGCATATATGCACATGACACAATATATCCCCCTGTACAACTATAATATGGTAATAAAAAAGAAAAACGCAGAGAAGTCTTACAAAGGAAAGCACAAAGTTTTTAAATAATAGCTATGAAACTTTCAAAAATTATAAGATTACAACAGTAATATAAAGCAATCCAAAATTACAGACACAGAGGGTGGTGGTTGATCCATAATTATTCAGTAAAGAGGAATACAATCATTTACTTATGCAAATTCTTCATTAAGAAGTCATGTATTCAAGTTTCAAAAAGATCTTCAATGCCACATGATATCCAGTTATCCATTCCCACTGTTCTTCAAAGAAAATGCTATGAGTTATTAATTTGCTTCTTACCTTTCTCTATACTACTCTGTACACTAGATTTACCAAGATAATACAAAGGATTAGTATTCTAAATATACTAAGAAGTCTCAGTATTTGGGGGAAAATCCAATTAGAAATGGGCAAAAGACATCAACAGATACGTGATCAAAAAGGATATATAAATGACAAGTAAGCACATGAAAAGATGCTCAACACCATTAGCCACTAAGAGAATGTTTATAAGTTGTTTTATTTGTACGGGTTGAATATTCATTATCCAAATATTTGGGGATAGAAGTATTTTGGATTTTGGAGAAGTCACATATATATGAGATCTTAGGGATGAAACTTAAGTCTATATATGAAATTCATTTATGTTTTATATACACCTTTTACACATAGCTCAAAGGTAAAAATTCTGTGCAATTTTTAGTGTGCTTGCATTTTGACTGTCTCCTGGAACATGGGGTCGGATGTGCAATTTTCCAACGTGGCAGGCATCATGTCAGTGCATAGTTTCAGACTTTAGAGCATTTTGAATTTCAAATTTTCAGATTAAGGACATCCAACATGTAGCAGTCCAAAACTAGAAACAACCCCAGTGAGCTTAAATTGAAAGATGTTTAAATAAACTGAAGAATAGCCATGCCATGAATACTATTTCATAACAAAAAGAATGAATTGTCTATAAATTTAACAACTTGGATTTTGAGGGAGTTATGGTAAGTAAAAACACTCCAAACTCAAAAGGTCATACATACAATGTATGATTCCACTTCAGTAACATTCTTGAAATAACAAAACTATAGAAATGGAAAAATAGATGAGCTAGAAATTAAATTTCAGGCAAGAAGTACAACATGGGGTAGATGTGGCCCGAAAGGATAAGAAGTATTCTCATGGTGATACTATAGCTGTGATCTTGACTAGTCAATGCCAATACTTGCTTTGGATAATGCATCATAGCTTTGCAAAATGTAATCAATGGAGGAAACTGGGGAAATGACACACAGGATGTTATACCTTGGACATAAACGTCCCCAAAAACTCTTTAACAATGAGCTTGTAGCATCAGAGGTGATTGGATCATGAGGTCTCTAAGTTCATTGATGGACTAACCCAATGATAAATTCATAACGAAATGGCCAATTAGGAGCCTAACTGGAGGAAGTGGGTCACTAGAGACATGACTTTGAGGAATTTATCTTATACCTGCTCCCTTGCTATCTCCGCTTCCTGGTTGCCATGAGGTGAGCAGCTTGGCTTCATTACCCCCTTTGCTTCAACACCCCCTCTACCACAATGCACTACGGGCCTAGAAATAGAAAGCCAAGTGACCACGGACTAAAACCTCTGAAACTGTGAGCCAAAATAAATCTTTGTTCCCTTAAGTTGATTTTCTCAGACATTTTGTCATAGTGATGGAAAAGTGACTAACACACAGGATCTCTCTAAACCATTTCTTACAGTTTCTACATGTGAACTTATCATTATCTCAAAATAAAAAGTTTAATTAAAAAGTATTTGTTGCGTATGTATTGTATTTGTCCTTGTCCAAATTTGTATAGTAGATCCTTGGTATCCACAAGTATATGATTCCAATTAGACCACCATTAAGGAAAAGCCACAAATGCTCAGGATGCATAAAGTTTAAATACAATTAACTTAAGCTTTTGGAAGCAGCCCAGATGCCCCAAGACTGATGAATGGATTAAGAAAATATGGTACATATACACAATGGATTTTTATTCAGCCATAAAGAAGAAGGAAAATATGTTGTTTGCAGGTAAACAGATGGCACTGGAGACCTTCATGCAAAGCGAAGTAAGCCAAGTTCAAAAAATCAAAGGCTGCATGTTTTCTCTCGTATGTGGAAGCTAGACTTACAGTTAAATGTATATACAGAAAAACATATGATCATATATATATATTAATAAATAGGTGACAGAGAAAACAAAACTGAATTAGTGAGAAAGAAAATATTAGAGATTGAATTAACTTTTCATATTTACCTTACATATGCAAGCCAGAGATAATACTTTAAAATATTTATTTAAATACATTCATTACCTGCAAACAGAACACTGCCGCTGAGGCTGTAGAGCAGTGAACATAACAATCATAGAATAGTTTCGAGGGGGTGCCTTTACAAATTTTCGGAATTTATCACCATTCATTCTGAAGATTGAGCGCCTGGAACTCCATTCCATCAGCTGTTCTACTTTTTCCGCCAAAAGATTCTGAAATTAGATACAGGAATTCAAATTTACAATGAGTTAAAATTCTTTAGATTTCATATATACAGAATTACCCTGAGACTATTTTTACTCCAAATAAGTTCTTCTTAAAAGTCCATTTTTTCCATATATTCTTTAACTGAACAGATACACATAAAACATTTCATTTTTCCTAATGATTGCAAAAGTTCATAAAAAATACACCAAAAGTAATTTTACTTATTAATAATCAGATTTCTGTTTCTAGAAAGATGAACTATACATACATTTTCCTGGTCCTTCCACTAAACACAGCTAAATATCCTGTTCTTTATGTAAAAAAAGCAAAACAAAAAGTCTATAAATGGTGGAAAGGAAGTAGACTGGCTGTGGATCTTGGGACCTGAAGAATGACACAACAATGAGCTCCTTCGGTTTGTTTTCACCTCCTATTTCCCAAACTGGTTGCTGAAGAAGCTGATAATATAGGAATGCCAGTGGCTACAAACAAAAAATGTCTAAAGGCACACTTATTCTATTCCGTACCCAAAAGACAAGGAAAAGGATAGTCTGTTAAGATAAAATAACGTCTCTATGCCATCCAAAACACAAAGAAGAAACAACTGTGATCTCACTACCACCATCACTAGCAAAGGCTAAATTAGGAGACTCTACTTGACTAAATTTCTCTTTAATCATTTACAAGGAAGAACAGAGAGAACTCTCACAAATACAAAGCTGGAACTGCATAAAGGTGCTGAATATTCTATTGTATTAAGGTCAAAAAGAGAAATTAATCTACTGCGATGAAATACAGAATGGTGGCTAATCTGGAAGAGACAATGGGACAAAAGAGAGATTCAGTGACTGAGATATACCACATGTGGAGCTAGGGTACTAGTAATATTCTCTTCCAGAAGGGTAGAGGGGAGGAGATAGCACTCTAGCTTCTATATAGACACTTACCTTTAGGTCATTCATTTCTACCTCAAAGAATTTGAGGAGAAAGTACTCTACAGGGTTGTATTTCTGTAACAAAAAGAAATTCTCTGCCCTTGCAAAACAAAGCATATGTCAGAAGCTGGGAAAGTGGTTTGAATGGTGCATGTAAATAAAAACTAGAAAGAGGTCAAGACAGGTATCTCTAATCCTGTTTTAGGGAAAAAGACTTGTTCAGGTGCTATGCACCCACCTAAGCAAAGGAAAAAGACAACCAAAAAAACTGGAATTAAGGAAAAGAGGAAGACTAACCTGGACCAAGTGTAGAACTCTTGAACTTGTAATTTGGCAGAGAGGGAACATTCAGATAAGTACACATTTGGTATGCTAACTATATGAAAAAAAAGTTACAGTTAATTACTGGGATAATTATTAGCTTAAAAACTAACATAAATTTGCTCTAACAAAAAAGGGAAGAACTGAAATTAATCTTAACTACAAAACAGAATAATTACTTGAATATATTTCATAAGTGAAATTACACTCTTACTCAATTGAAAATAAAACTTATTTAAGAATTGCTGGGCCTTATCAATATATCCAAAACAATTGAAACCTATATATAATGGCTTTTATAATTCTTAATTTTAATTCTGAGAAGCAAAGTGATAACATTTTCCATGTTAAAACATAATTTACGAGTGTTTGCCTTACATAAAATATTTAATAGGATTTATGTGACAGTCTTCAATTCTTTACTGTAACACTCAGCAGGCCAATTTAGTATCTACAAATTCTTTTGATCCGGGAAAAATTTTCAAATGATACATTCTACATAAATAAAATATTTATATTTTAATTATTTAGAAATCATGACCCTCTATGCAAGGGCAGAATTGCCAGATTAGTAAATAAGTGGAGGCAGACGAGCCAAGAAGGCAACTAGGGTGCAGAAGCCGACAGCGTTAGCTCCGTAAATCAAAAATCTTGCTAAGATGCTGAAGCCACATTTGGCAGAAAAAAAGCACCAAGAAGAATCAAAACTTCAACACCCTGAACCCCTAGCCCAAAAATAGCTTTTCCACACCACATTAAACCGAGAAAACAGGAGGGCTCCCGCACCACTAGACACCGGCTCCAAACCTGCTTGGGAGACATTTGGCAGACCAACAGATGAGAACAAGCATCCCATGGGATAAACTAGAATAGCCCCCCACTATGCCAAAAAAAAAAAAAACTGAACAAACAAGGAACTGAAAACTAACACACCCCAGAGTGGACAGGGTACTGTAAGTGAATTGGAGGAGGGGGAAGAGAAAGAAGCTGATCTTTGTGGAAACATTCAGTAAACAAAGGCTGGAAAGGCAGAAGGGCCAGCAGGAGGCGAGTGACAAGCCACTGCCTGAAAAAGAGCAGGTCGTGGTCCACAAAGCTCATCTCCTGAGCTAATGAGCAATATCCAAAGTCAAACAACACTGCAAAATTGAAAAACAATCAGCAAACCATCACAGCATGCTAACAGCATTTAGACAGCTGAAGGAACACTGACCTTGTCCCAGAAAAAGGGCACAAAGCAAAGAAACAAGCTGCTAGTAAGTTAACACAGCAAAAACCAAATGCCAAAGCAAGATGGCTTGTGGGCTACAGAGCTGATCTCCAGAACCTGATGACAAGCCACACCTCACTGAGGGAGGAGCGACTAAGCAGCTGCCACTGAAAGACAAAAAAAACAAAAACAAAAAACAAAAACCTGCTGAGACTCCCCAATCACCTGGCGAGACTAAGACAGAGCTTCTGCTTAAATACCAACACCAGGACTGGAAGCTGAAGGAGTGACACCAGAACTACTAAGACTGAAATTCTATTGTTCCTGAACCTGAAGTGTTTTTTTGTGTGTTTGTTTGTTTTGTCTCTTGTTTGTGTTTCTTTGTTCATCTCTCCATGTTCATTTGCTTGTTTTGTTTTGTGAGTTTTACTACTGTTAGTTAATACAAGTTAAATTACACACAAACCAGTGACAGAAATAGAATACCTACACTAAGCTAAAAATACAATATACCCACAAAACAAAATCTAACAAAACAAAAGAAAACAGGTAACTGAAATCACCAATTGCCTATCAAAAACGTAGTTGCACAGTACCAAGTGGAGCAATGGGAAGACAAAAAAGGGATGGAAACCATTCTCCCCCCAAAAATAATTTAATACAGGATTCAGAGAGAATTGAAGAAAATAGATTCCCAGTTCCAGACGCCAATAAAACAAAGATAAACGACACCAAGGAACCCAACAAAGCCCAAAAGAACCCTCTGAAAGAAGAAATTCTGCAAGTAATAACTGAGCATTTCATGGAGATGTTACTAGATATGGTCAACAAAAGCATAACAGAGGCACTCCAAGACACTAAAATTAAAATTACAAGACACAGAGACAAATAAATGAACTCACAGGAGCCATAAATAAACACCAAAGTAAAACGGAGAACACTATAAATAGAGAGATAAATGAATTTGATGAAAATAGACAATATTAAAGAGGAAGTGATCCATGATATGGAAAATTTCACAAAAAAGAATGAAACAGAAATACAAAACACAATGGAAGGCCACTCCAGCAGACTAGAACAAGCAGAAGACAGAATCTCGGAACTTAAAGATAAAATGAAAAATTGAAGAGCTATTTGTCAAAAAGATGAAGACCTATGAAAGGAATATGCAAGAATGTACCAACTCCATTGAAAGACCAAACCTGACAGTCATGGACACTGAAGAAGGAGAAGAGGTACAAGCAAAAGGGATTCATAATATATTCAATGATATCATAACAGAAAATTTCCCAAATCTAGAGAAAGCTATGCCCATTCAGATACAGGAAGCCTCCAGGACAACAAATAGACATCACCAAACTAGAACTACCACATGACATATTATCATTAAAACAACAAGCACAGAGAATAGAGAAAGAATATTGAAGTCTGTAAGAGAGAGAAAACAAATAACATACAAAGATAAATCCATCAAAATCACAGAGTTCTCAATGGAAACCTTAAAAGCAAGAAGGGCATGAAGTGAGGTATTCTGGGCACTGAATGAAAACAACTTCAACCCCGGAATACTCTACCCAGAAAAACTATCATTCAAAATAGATGGAGCAATAAAAGTCTTCCATGATAAGCAGAAACTAAAACAGTATGTGACCACAAAGCCACCACTACAAAAGATTCTTCAAGGAATTATGCACACAGCAAATGAAAGCAAACAAAACTGTGAGAGGACAGGCAGTACCAAACCACAGGAGAAGACAGAGAATCAGAGAACAACACTGATTCAGCTGCACACAATCAAACCCTTAAACAACAAAAACAACAATGACAGGAATCACCATAAACCTATCAATACTAACACTGAATGTTAAGGGACTTAATTCCCCCATCAAAAGACACCTTTTGGCAAACTGGATTAAAAACGAAGATCCAAAAATCTTTTGTTTACAGGAAACCCACCTCAATGACAGAGACAAGCACTGACTTAGGGTGAAAGGCTAGAAGAAGATTTACCAAGCCAATGGCCCCAAAAAACAGGCAGGAGAAGCAATACTTATCTCAGACAAAGTAGACTTCAAACTTACACTGATCAATTGAGATAAAGAAGGACAAACCATACTAAAAAAAGGTGAAATACACCAGAAGGAAATAACAATTATCAACCCATATTCACCCAATGTCACTGTACCCAATTTCATCAAACATATTCTGAAGGACCTAAAAGCATATATAGACTCAACACATATAAGAAACTAGAAATAACCCATGCATTCTTTTTGATCACAATGCATTAAAATTAGAACTCAAGGACAAGAACGGCAGAAAATATGCAAAATCAACTTACAAAACAGTAGCAGTGGGAGACGTTAATATGCCTCTATCACCAATAGATAGGTCATCCAAACAAAAAAAATCAATAAGGAAATTCTAGAACTGTATCACATTATAGATCAAATGGATATAGCTGATGTTTACAGAATATTTCATCCAACTTCTGCACAATACACATTCTTCTCAGCAGCGCATGGAACTTTCTCCAAAA